TTTAGTTAAGTATTGAATAAATGATTCGAGTGTTTGATTTGAATTAAGGGTGGGATAATTATATTGTTTTAAGAATTAATTATAACAGGTAACTTCAGTATGTGATGAGGCAATGGTTACTGAAGTTGTGTTGAGTTCTTCTATAGAAAAGGCACTCGCCGTATATCTGGTTTTTATGGTTGCGAAGTTTGCCAAAGCCTGCTCTGTATGTTGAGTCTGGCCAACATATACTTAGTTCTCTGCGAATTGTATATTATTTTAATTTAATATTCTTAATTAATTTATAGTTCGAATTATTTTTATTTCATTTGTTTATATATATGATAAATTATAATTAATTTATAAAAATATATTATTATAAATTTCAATAATAATCTACTTTTACCAGAAAAAAAAGCAAAATTGTTATAATATTGTAATTTAATACTATTATATATAATATCCTCATTCTAATCTCATACAATTTTTAATACAAGTAGATGATATTATACTATTTTATCAGGCAATAGATCTTCTGCTTTTAATCCTCGATGAGCATATACTAAACTAATATATCCTCATCTACAATCTGAAGATGTAAATAGAATTTTTATTTAGTTTGCTTTTGGAGTTGAAAGTCTAGTTTGCTTATTCATTTTTTGAGCATTATTAAGATCTTGATGAGGAATAATTAAAACAATTGATCCATTAGCGTTTCTCTTAATTCCTGCTCCAAGATCATTATAAACTGATGTGAAATTATATAAATAGTGAAAAAATATACTATGTATAAAATATATTATACTATATCTAATTCCTTTTGTAACTAGAAAATTACTATGAAGCAAAAGACAAGAAGAAAATGCTACAACTTGATCCAGTTTAAGTTTTACTACAATTTGTAATTGTGAAAAACACAACTCACTACCTTCAAAATCACCCAAAGCTACAAGACAACAAAGACTTTTAGGCTCATCATATTTATTCTAATGAAAATCACTTATACTATTATAGTTAATTGCAATTATAGGAAAAACTCCAAATAGGTGAGGTGCGAAAGGTCTCCAAAATAAATTATTTAACTTATTATAAAGATTTTTATAATAATCTTGGAGAAATTGGTTAATACTATCTGATAATGGTTTAAGGTTTTAAAGTAAATTATTTACACATATTTGGTGATCAGAGTTATGAGAACTAGCCATATTAGAACTAGTATATGAAAGAATATTATATAATATATAAGCTCTAAAATACTCAATTAAATTTGTCCAAAATTCATAGCTTCGATGTAATGGATTGTTTATAGTATAGAAGTATTAATAATTCACAGTATTAGTTGCTTGAATAATAGTGTTATAATTATCTAGCTGTTCTAAGTGTATTAAGGTTTGGCTATTTAAATCAGTAATATACTCTGAGCTAACTACATAATAAAATTGAACTAAATCTTTTAGAGATTAACAATTTTTACGTGCTGATATAATTAATCTGTTTTTTTTAAGCCTAGTAATACTCTTAATAATCATGTTAGTAAGATTTTTATTTTGCACATTTAAGGCATATTGTAGCTTTCTCCACTTATGTTTAAGGTGGCATCATACATACCTTTGTTTTATAGGTTCTTTAAAATCTAGCTATCATTCAAAATTGATCTACAACAAATTATTAGTACTAACAGTAGATGATTCAGCTTTAAATTCCTTACTAATAATACATGTTTTGATTAATATAAGAAATTTCAAGAGAATTTTATTTAGTTCAAAAAAGTTGTCTAATTTAGTCTCTTTAATCAAAGCTTTAACTAACAAATCATTAGCAGATATATTTTCTTGAGTCTTTATTTTTTTGGATGATATATGATCAGAGAGGCTAAGAGAGATGTTTTTTCATATATTTTCTAAATAATAAACCTTGTTATAGGTATACAAACCTTGAGTAGCACATTGTGTCTGATGCTTTAATAAATAAAACCAAATTATATAAGTTTATTTGAAATAATAGATTAATTAATATATTTTAAAGAATAATAGTCTAAATATACTAGATTATATATTTTGTAGACTGAACTTATTGCTTTAACCAAAACTTTGAGCTACTATCTCTAATAGAGAATAGTGATTATAGCTCTGTTAAATTCCACAACATTCTCATAGCTACTAGCTTAAATAATAGTTCTATCAACACAAAACCAATTAAGTATAATAAAATCAAAAATATATACTCAAGATAGAAATAATAGTCTAAAGATCTAAATTATATATTTTGTAGACTGAACTTATTGCTTTAACCAAAACCTTGAGCTACTATTTCTAATGGAGAATAGTAATTATGGCCCTGTTGAATTTCACAACATTCTCATAGCTACTAGCTTAAACAATAGTTCTATTAATACAAAATTAATCTAAGTATAATAAATTCAAAAATATATACCTGGGATGGATCAAAGATAATATCATTTTTAATTAAGAGTTGGAAAGTTCTAGTTCACAAAAAATCTCATTTTGCTTATGATCATATTTTAGTTTTTTATTCTATTCGCACAAGCATAATGAGATAATTTCTTCTTGATATCTTGTAATACGATATTATTTTCCTTTCTTTTATTATTTGATACATGCATTATGTTTATTTTTAAATAAAAGAAAATCTTATAATATTATGATAAGTTAACTCACCAGAGGCATGACTGACAATAGTGATTTAGCAAATAATTATATTAAAGGATTTAAGGAGTTTTATACGAAGTTAAATTTAATCATTATGTAGGGTAGGTATTAAGTAATTATTATTATTATTTTATTAATTTATTAATAAATTTGTTGTTCCCAAGGAACTTACTTTTTTACAAAGCAAAACTACAGTTCTTTTATAATATCTAAAACTTCGAATAATATAAAAGGCTTTGAGATTGCACAACTACTATTCTTTCTAAATTATAAAAACTACTTCATTAATCATGCTAATTCTTCTATTCCTTTTGTTAAACATTTAGGTTTCTTGTATAATCTTCTCACTAACCATGATTAGCACTCCGATTTGAAATATTAGATGATCTTTACTATTAGCTTATATGCTATTCATTAATCAAAATAAAAATAAAAATTATAGTAGCCACTTTTCTTTTTTGATTAACTGAATAATAACAATACATATATAATTAATAGCCTCTTTCTGACGATCCTTTTCCCAAAAAATTCGAAAAAGCAAAAAACAAAAATTTTGTTAGAGACGATGAAGAAGACTCTTTTACAACAATGGTTTTTACAAAGGTCAACTAGGTTTTTACTTCTCCTTAGGGACTCCTTTGTATATTCGGCATGCAAGCTAGAAGTG